TTAGGTTCAGCATGAAATCATTAGGGTCAGATAGGACCACTAACTTACATATACACTGTTTGATAAATTTCTTGATTAATGATGTTCACGATTATTAATAACAATCTTTCTGCAGACACCACCATGTCTGTAGAAATGTATTGCAAGTATGCTAATGATTTTTTCAATGTGTATGGTTCTTAAAAGTGAAACCAAGTGGTTGTTGTCTGCACATAGAAGCCTTTGGCATTTGCTAAGACAAAGAAATTGGTTTCCTTTTCTCCAGGACTACTAAGAAGTATTTAACTTAATGAAAATACAATCTGCAAAAACACAAGACTCTGGCATATTTGTTCAACCTCATTTTCCTAGTCTTATTTTTAAAAGGGGCTTCTAAATAAAACCAAAGTAAGAAAGCGAAGTTTATAGATTCAGACATCCAAAACTATTCTCCTTTTAGAGGCTAATTTCTATATCCTTTTGGTAAAAAACATTAGAAACTGTGAGATAACAGGAATGCCAGGAAGTCTGGGGATTAAGTTGTTTTCCTTCCCCCTCTTGCATGAATAAATATTAGTCATCCAGTTATACTGCTTTCAGTGTGTTGCACTCTCAGTTGTTAATAACAAGATACCAATTAAAATACAAAGTCAATGGGAGACAACAATCGCCCCGTGACTACGACTGTGAGGGGAAGCAGGATCACCCAGTTTAATCTGGGTTTGGAGCTTTGATAGAGCTAAATGTTGGGCAAGATCAGATGGCACAAGAGATAATTAAAAAACATTAGAAGGAGGGCTTCACATTTTTGCATTTTGCAAGAAGCTTTAATGACTCCCAGGGTGTTAGGACGTACATGTATCTTGTTGAGAGAATACAAACCTGGTGTTAGAGAAAAATAACTGTTTGATTAGACTGGGTAGGCGGGCTGAAGATGGAGAAAGGGGATTAATATTCATTTTGCATTGTCTGAATAGCCTAAGGGAAGCATAATTTAATTAGGTCTATGTATATTTTTAAGAGACGCCACGTTCATAGCTAAAGAGGAAAATGTCTGTGCTCTCAGGCAGCTAAGGAAAAAGAATGCTGACCTTCTATGCGCTTTCACCAAAATATATAAATAAAAAGGGGCATATAGCTGATTTCCTAAAGGCAGTTGAGATCACTCTGAATGAGTTTTATGTTGAATAGCAGTTACAAATGCAAAATAATAAGATAACAACCTGGTGCTAAAAAACATGCAGACAATCTGCACAGGAAAATTGATTACACTGGCTCTAATGCATTGAAGTGATACTGAGAAGTTGGACATAGAAATTTCAACAAACTGCTTCAGAATTTATTTGTATGCATCTGTATGAAGGTAATTATCTTTAAATTGGCACTGAGGTCCTGTTACAGGAGTAGCTGATGCCCGTGTAGTTTTCTTCTCTTCCCAGTGGGGCACCTTGATGGGTTTAGCAAAGAATAATGCTGAGCATAATGCAGAATGCTAATAAGAAAACAGACTTGTGAAAGAGAGAAAGGTGTGAAGGTTCAGGGTTCAAAATCCATGAAGGATGTCCCTGTGGATACAGCTTTGCAAACCAAAGTGTGCCTCCTGATAGGATAACATGAATGCCTCCCAGACCAGCTCAGGTGAGCCAGGCCAGCAGAGACCCGTAGACCTGCAAAGGACTTGGCTTATCTTGACCGAAAGAAGCAGCTCTGGAACAGAGATATCGTTCTGTGAAAAAGTGGTGAAAGCTTAGGGAAAAGTTCCTAATTACCTGGGAGGAAAACATGGAAGGATGCTTACAGAAGGAGAATAGAAGGATGCCTAGGAAAAAAAAAAAAATATATATATATATATATATATATATATATATATATATATATATTTAAAAGCATATGCATTCATTTATGTATGAATACATGCTGAAAATTAGAAAGAAGGGGAGGGGAAAGAAACAGTGATAATTATGTATTTTTACACAGTAGACAAATGTAAGAAAGAAGACAGATGTTTGTATGTCTGCTCAATATATTTTGTCATGAATATTTCTCAGGGCATAAATTGCTGTAAAGAATGTCTAGTTCTGCGTTATTTGTTTTGTAGGACACAGATTACTAAATTGGAAACTAGGAAAAGGCCTCTTTATGGACTTCTTGGAGAACATACTGAATAATAGCAACTACGAATGGACAAAGAATTCAGCTTGTTTCGTATGACTTTCCAAAGTCAGTTATCTACAGATTACTGTCCCATACACATGTACACTGACACAAACACTTTCTGCCACAAGAAAGGGATGCTTGAGGGTGCTGTGAGGTGGTTTTCTTCTGGAGAAAAGAAACAGAAGACAGGGGAAGATGAGAAGGCCCAGATTTGTCTGGAGAATGAAAACATGCTTACATTTCCAAGCTTTAGAACACCAGACTCAAATGACATGTTGTTATATGGGACAAATCCACAACATCTTTTCTACCAGAGCAGCTCCATGACTGATCTTTTATTAACTACCTTCACCATTAAACCTCTGACCAGTACACCACTCACTTTACCTCCCAGAGTCTCTTCCTCAGGCTCCTGCCATCATCATCCAAAGCCACCTTCTCGGTCAACCTCTACCTCTCACTGGATTGCCTACCCCTAAAATTTTCCTGCCCAGCCTGTATATTGCATAGACATGTGAGGATGGCACAGTGTTACATCCTGAGGGATTTCTGACCTACTGCATGTGTGAACAGGCTGATATTCCTGGTTGGAAAAGAAAAATATGAATCTTTCATTATAATATATATATTAAAATCTCAGAAACTAAGCCTTTTTTTTTTTTTTTTTTTGCAACTTCTGGGAGGCACTGTGGAGGATGTTTATCCCAATCCTATTTATAGGGAACCTGATGCATGATTATTAAGTGCTGGTCCCAACAATGTGCATTGAAAAATCCTACCAACCACCACTTCTCCGAAACATCTCATGTTAGTTGGTTAGAAAGCAAGCAGAAATCCCAAATCCCTTAAAGTACAATTCTGCAGATGACCCTTCCCTTATTTTTGTCAGCCTTTGTTGCATTCCTCCAGCAGTGGAGGGAGACCTGTTTTATGGATAGATGGATCTTGATAGGACTAACACAAAGCAGATGCAGTCTGTCAAAAAGAACCCGTGACATTTCCATGCCCTAGCAGCAATTTGAATTACAGAGTCACACAAAGCAGCCTGTTGTCTCTGATTTAGATTTTTATTTGCATTGAAGAGGCTATTTCTCAAGAATGAACTATGCATATAAAAATAGAAAGCAAAGGGGAGAAAAAATAGGGGGCTGATCAAGATGCAAGTAAATATATAGAACTGTCAATTCCACACCATTCTGCCTTAACACTTGTGTGCCTAGGCACATCAGGCCTTTGCAGCACATCAGCATACCACAATAATCAGCTCACTAAACTGCTCCAGCTGTGTGCAAGGTGCATTTGCTTCCCTCGGGCTGTGTCCTGCCCCTCAGCCTGCCCTGGGACCTCCTGGAAATGGGCAGCACAGGGCTCAGCAGGTGTGGCATGCTGACTGCAGACAGCAGTTAAGCCTGGTAGTTGTTTCACAAGGATAAACATTGTCATTCCCACTTCTCTCACAATTTGGGAAGGGATTTTGTTTTTTTCTAATATCTGTGAAATCCTCTCTCCCTTAAGGGAGAATGGAAGATCAGCAGGAGAACCAGACCAGATTTTTTGGCTCGCTTTCCACAGCCTCTTTCTCCCTGCAGGCAGCAAAAGAAATGGCTAAGAGTCCTCCACGTGGGCAGAGCAAATGCTGTCATTTTGATTTCTTCTGGATGCTCAACTCAAAATGCTCAGCAAAACAGAGAATTTCCCTGCAGCTAATCCTTCCCATCACTCTCCACCATAGATTAAAGGCTTCCAACATCCTCCCCAGTGGGGATGGGTTTCTGGCCAAGGGAGAGATTGGTCACAGCTTCATGGATACCAGGGGAATGAGGCAGGGACCCCAAAGATCTGGTGGGGATCTGTGCAGGGTGTCAGAGGACCAGAAACTCCAGCAGGGACGCTAAGTCCTGCTGCACCCACTGCTCTCCAGGCCCTCCACGTTCAGAAGCAGGCACCAGGAGAGAACCATAAGGAGACACAGAGCAGCAGATGAGATTTTGCCATTGCTTCTCCCTCCACTCGCACCCCAGTTGCTTTGCACAGTTGGTTACACATGAAAAGCTTGTGAGCCAACAGCAACAAACCGAGCCAGCAAGGCAAGCCATAGGACCACAGTAACCCAAGATCCTGCAGTCCCACCGTGCGCAACACATAGAAGATCAGCCTCACGTTGGGTTTATGGCTCACTCCCACTCCAGCCAGCTGCCAAGGATGATGTCTTTCACAGTTGTTCGTTGTCTGACTCACAGCTGCACAGCGGGGCCTCCTTTGAAAGATACACCCAATCCTCACCACAGACAGGTATTAACTTTATTAAAGAAGGCAGTTACAAGAGGAGAACAAACCTTGCAGCCTGTCGGATACACTCCACACGGGAAGAGTTACATCCCACATGCACAGTACGTTCACCTTCCTTCACAGAACAAGCTCTGGTATAAAGTATCAAGATATTTGTGCTCAGATTTCCCTCGAGACAATGGGTTTCCAAATAAATTGGATGCTGCATTACATCTCTTTTCCATTGGGGAGAAGAGGGAGACAATAAATTTAGAAACAAACCAAGAGTGAGACAGAGCACAAAAGAAAATGAAATCAGAGGGAGAGCAGGGAAGGCTCATAATAAAAGCATATCCCTTTGAAGCCACCATCACATACATGCTTTTCCCTCTAGCTGCAGCCATTTTGCAGAGCTTTATTAAAATAGCATCTCTACAGAGGAATTACTTAAAAGAGAGAAGTAATAGATTTTTCAGAACCAATGAAAACAAGCCCCCTAGAAACAGGAGCTATTTTCTTTCCCAGACAGGAGTTCTTTAATTCCTTTCTCATCTTCATTCATCACAGGGATGGGATGGATCAAACCACAGCAGAGGTCTGTGATGGTGCTGCCAACTGCCTTGAGAATGCACTGGCCAGTCAACAAACTAGTTAAAACAGCCAAAGCCACTGCCTCAAATGCCTTGCAACGCCGAACCAGGAAGCAACAAATATCCCTTCTGAAGTGGGTAACAGGGCCCCACTGAAAAAGCGTGTTAGTGACAATTTTGTGTTGCTGGATTTGGGCAGCATTTCAGCAACTTAACAAGAGGAGGAGTGGGAGGTGGTGCAGTCTCTGTGGGCAGCCTGCTGTCGGTGGGAATAAAGCAGAGCAGATGCAACCCTTGTATGCAGCCGATCACATTTCCTGGCAGGCTGAGGTATTTGAATTTCAGATTTATGGCTCTTCCTATTTTGTTCTGTGTTGTGTTTTTTTTTTTCTTAATTGAAGTGTCAGTTCCAGGGAGGACTTTTTTTTTTACTATTTTTTGTATAAACTATATAACAGGAAGGAATGAGGTTCAGTTGTACAGGAGAAAATGGGAATATTATCTCAGCCTCTAAGTATCATTGAAAATTACAGTTAGTACTTTATAGGGTAACTTCTGCAGGTTTCCTTGCTCTACAGGGCTGTCCATGGTGAAATTTTAACTTGTTTCTCCAATGATGAAATGTTCCACTGGGTACTGATAGCTATGTCCTTGGCTGTCCCTAAATTAAGTGCCTTCAGTATCTATAGGAACAATGGAAGGATCTCAGCAAAAGCAAAAGTGAACTTAATTCTCTTTCTCTCAATCATAGGCTTCCTCTATAAATAAGTAAAGAAATGTTCATTTAGCAATCAGTACTTTTTCTCAGCTTGACATCTAATTGTCAAATATCAAAACGATATGCCCTTTTCAATACCAAAGCAAAGTCCCAATGTTTACAAAGACAGCATTGACAAACCTCTATCCTTGAAGCTGGATGCAGTCCTTTATACTAAATGATGTCCGAGTAACAGCTCTTGAAGTTTCCTCTATTGCAGTTACATAAGCTAACATAAAAGTCTGTTTTAGTCCCTTCACCATTGAAAAGCATGATATCAGTTCCAATTATGAATTTGGACTGATTTACTCCTTGAGATTTTCCTTAATTAAAAATTAATATATAAAAAAAAGGGGGGAAGGGGGGGGGGGGCAGGGGCAAAAGAACAGAGCAGCCAGCCACAGCTCAAGCTGAATAAGAGAAACATCAGGAATGAACTCTGAATATGATATTAAAGTTCAGCACAATGCCCATTACTACAAAGATATTTGTTGTTCTGCTAAATTGGGGTACTGCATCTCTGAAAGGAAATCTCAAAATCTCATTTCCAGCATTCTGCAAGAGTTCCTCCTGAAAGGTAGCTCATTCCAACATCCTTTGGAAGAAGATTAAGGGATCAGAGAGCAAAACCATCACAACCTTTGGAACTTTAAACTAAATCCTTTTACCCTAAATAACGAGCTTTCTACGCTAAGCTAGGCTTGTTTGACTTCTGCTCCTGAAAGCCAGAGTCTTCAGCTATTTTATATCTTGTAGGCAGAAGGAAGTATATTATTCTTATATTTCCCTTTTATTTAATGCCTCCAGACAATCTCTGGGACAGCACTGCACCATGACTCTGGCTTCAGACAATTTAACCAGGCAATTACCGATTTTCCTGCAGTTCTCTGGCTGACAGTACTCACTGCAGGCAGAAAATAAATGTTTTATTGGAGCATATGGGGGGAGAAATAAGAAAAGGAAGAAGGAGAATGGATAAGTGTTTCCAGATGTGTTTAGGTCTCTCAGCTGCCTTTCGAGGTGTGCTTCCATTCTACCTCCTTCCCTGTGCCATTAACACCTGCAACAAGCAGGAGATGAGGTGCTATGGGAACACAAGGACACTGTTTTCACCTTTTTCCACTGGCTCCAGATCTGCTTCACTCATTACAACACATGAGAGGGTTGAGGTTTGTTGCAGGTACAGCTGTAATAAACACTATTCTTGACCAGGAATAGCAGGACTGCAGAAATATGATATGTAGCTGCCATAACATCTCTCATATAACAGTGTACACAGCCAGCAGACTTATTTGTTTACAGGCCATGAGAAATATGAGTTCTTGCCTTAATAAGAATGAGCAGTCTTTACTGACCGGAGATGAAACTAAGCAAGCAATAACAATGTCATCTCAAGCCAAGTTCTGTTGTTTGTCTGTGTATATGGCCCAATACATCCATTTTATCTCGATGAGATCTGACTGGCTGCAACAGAGTTAATCCTGTCTTACAAGTCATAAGTGCTAATGATCCCCAGAGTTTTCATAAAAGCTGATGATTTGAATTCGGCACAGTTTTGTAGCACACAACTGGGACATTCCCAGCTCCATTACATTCTAGGCCTTTTATTTGACTCAAGATACCTTTGACAAGCCCAAACCGTCCTGAATTGCTGAGATACGTATTTATTTACTAAGAACAGAATTTATTTGTTAAACACTCAAGATGTAGAGATAGAAAAATATTCTCATATTAAAACTTTGCCATCAGATTGTACAAAGCTATTTAAAATCAAATTCACAATATTGACAAAATGTTCTAGATATTAAATAAATATAATCTGTGGAAGCCAGAGAACTGATAAATTTATGCCTGATAAAATTATGGTGAAGATTATTTTGGGAGTTATTGAAAAACACCTGATCAGAGCCAACATGAGTTCACTAGGGGAAAGTCATGTCTAACAAACTTAATCTCCCTCTACTAAAAGATCACCCAGCTAATTGGCCATAGGAAGCCAGTCAATGTAAACTTTCTGGATTTCATAACTCTCAATATACTGTCTCTCACAGTACCCTTCTAGACAAAATGACCAGAATACAGTTAGATAAAAGACTAAAAAGATGGGTGACCAATTGGCTGACAAGTCAGGCCCAGAGGGTTCGTGTAAATGGGGTTACATCAGGCTGGCAACCTGTCACTAGTGGGGTTCCCCAGGGCTCCACTTTAGGACCTGTCCTCTTCAATGATTTAAAACCAATGAAAATTGTTGAATTGTCCTTTATTTGAATGAAGGACTTGAAAGTTTTTTGAGCAAGTTCACAGACAATACCAAATTGGGTGGAGCTGTTGACTCAGTTTAGGGTAGAGAGGCCTTGCAGAGGGATCTGAACAAATTACAGAGCTGGGCAGTCACCAGCCATGTGGAATTAACAAGAGCAAGTGCTGGATTCAGCACGTGGGAAGGGGCAACCCTGGCTATACGTACAGACCGAGGGACGAGGTGCTGGAGAGCAGCCCGGAGAGAGATATCTGGGGGTTTTGGATGATAGCAAGCTCAACATGATCCACCAGTGTGTGCCTTGGCAGCCAAGAGAGCCAAATGTACCCTGGGGTGCATCAAGAACAGCATTGCTAGTCAGGCAAGGGAAGTAAGTGATTGTCCCGCTCTGCTCTGTGCTGGTGCGGCCTCACCTTGATTACTTTGTGCAGTTCTGGGCACCACGGTTTAAGATAAAAAACCATTAGAGTATCCAAAGAAAGACAACAGAGATGGTAAAAGGTCTGGAGGGGAAGATGTATGAGGAGTGGCTGAGGTCCCTTGGTTTGCTCAGCCCCGACCAGAGCAGGCTGAGGGGAGGCCTGATGGCGGCCTGCAGCTCCCTCACGAGGGGAGCGGAGGGGCAGGCGCTGAGCTCTGCTCTCTGGGGACAGCGACAGGAGCCGAGGGAATGGCATGGAGCTGGAACAGGGGAGGGTCAGGCTGGGGGTTAGGGAAAGGGTCTGCACCCAGAGGGTGGTCGGGCACTGGGACAGGCTCCCCGGGGCTGTGGTCATGGCACTGAGCCTGCTGGAGTTCAAGAATCATGTGGACAACACTCTCAGACATAATGGTCTAATTTTTTGGGTGGTTCTTTGGGGACCCAGGAGTTGGACTCTATGATCCTTGTGTGTGCCTTCCAACTCAGATGTTCGATGATTTTGTGATGATTCTAGCTGTTAAAAAAGGATCAGCCTAGCTTTGGCTTGGCATCGTATTTGTAATCTATCCATTCCTGATATGATGTCCCATGAGAAGACACATGTAACGCAGGACACATTCTACCAGGCTTGAATTTCATATCCCAGGCTGGGTTTTCAAAACTGCCAGAAAAAAAAAAAAAAAGTGTGTATATATAGCTAGATAGATAGATACATATATATGCAAATGAATAGCATAATAAGTGCAGAAAGGCATGGAAGAATAGCCTGGGTTAAATCAAGGCTCTCTCTTCAGCAGGCCCATGACCTGGTCCCCTCCCCTCCCCACTTTTCTAACCCCAGCATGGAGTGGGAATGGCTGTCACTTCCTGCCACACAAACAGATTCACAGGCTTAATTAACACCGGAAAATTTGTTCAGCTAATTACGAATGCAGCACAAATGGCTCACACCCACACCCTCCCACCATCTTTCCCACCAGCTGGACACTCCATTCCAGCTAAAGCTGCCTTTGAAGCTGACACAAATCTGACATCCAGCAGAATGCAGTAAGTAGTAAGGCTTCGTGTTGGCTGCAGTTCCTACAAAAACAACGTCAGCCTCCCCAGCTCACCCCCCTTTGGGATTTCTCGAGGTCTGACAAGGCAAAAGAGGTCCGTGAACCGGCAGAAGCAACTTGGTGGGTGGGAAGCTGCAGAAACAACACTGAAGCAGCATCCATGCTGCTCTGCACAAAGCAAACCCTGTGCCAGGAGAATCAGAATCCCTGTTCTCAGTCACAGGCAGTGCCACAGTGTTGTGGGGTTTTTTTGCTCCCTTTTAAAATAATTCCTTTTAATTCCACAGAATCTCAGATTTTTTACTGATTTTTTTTTTTTTTGAAAGGGTCTGGTTTGTTTTTATTTATTTATTTAACTTTTTCTCTCTCAGTATAAGCACCATGAGGATATTTGCTAGCCTCAAGACACTGCTGTTGTCCTGATGCCTATTCAGACCCTAGCAGAAGTTCTGCACAGCAGGAGTCACCAAACACCAAGTGAGCAAAGTCCATAAACAGTTGCACAGCGTGGGAAACCCTTACTGAAAAGTTAAGAGAAGAGCTGTGAACATCTGGCATCACAGGCAGCACTATGAATGCTCAGTATTTGTATTGCATATATGCACAGCAGTGATTGCTTAACAGATTGCTCCACAGCCTCCTGCCAAGTAAACACCCAGCAGCAGTAAAGGACTTCTGTCGGAGCTTTCCAGGATAACAGTCCCTATGCCATGGAGCATTGCTGTGGCAGCTTTTCATCCAGTCACCCTCCTCTCCTGCATATTGGAGGAGCTCCTCTACTCTTCAGGTAAGGTACCTCTGATACCTGCACTGGGAATGGAGGACTTCTAGAGGGGATGCAAACAACTGTTCCCATCCCTCGGCCTACTGCTGAAACAGGAGAAAGCAGTGTTACAACTGCCCGGTCCCCTTCCCACCTCCCAGTCCCTGCTGCCATGTGTGGTGCCCTCAGTTCATACTCAGCAGCACCACAGTGGAGCATCACCACATAGCTGTCCTTCAGCGACCTAGACCAAACAAACACCTACTCACGCTGGGCATTCGACCCAGCCACCTCCCAGCCCCCTCCCATGAGTGCCACAGTTCTGCCTGCAGAGGAGATTATGCAAACAATCTGAGAGAGAAAACACAATGATTTATACATTTATATACATGTGTGTGTAATATTCTTTTAATTATAACAACTACTTTGTTAAATAGCCTGAATGTGAAATGTGGGAATCAGCAGGTGTTGTGGGTTTTTTTTTGCTTTTTTTTTTTTTTTTTTTATCTTTATTTATGTATCTATGTGTTTGAAACATCAACTGAGTGCTGAAATCTCTCATGCATTTTGCCAGGTGCTGAACTTCGTATTTGACATATCATATACTTTTGCCACTATTTACCAACCCTGGACTTGGTATGTCTGTAAATAAATCGATCAGTAATGAATTGTTGTGTTGTTTTTTTCCCTTGTTTATTGCTGTCGCTTACGCTGCAATGAAAATTAGCCCAAGATCAGCCTGTTTCTCTCTGAAAAGAATTAGATGTTCCACACCTGTGTTAGCATTAGTACAAGGCACTATAAGACAAAATCTAATACCCAGAACGTTGGTGATATGTAGGTACTTCACTTTCATTGATTTCTTTGGAAAATAGGTCATTAATACTCTGGCAGGCTGCTTCTCACCATACAAACTTGATTCTAGTCTAATTTTCTAGTAGTTCAGAACAGACTTTTCCTTCTATTTTTTTACTATAAGCTAAAGAACTATGAACACATCTCAAATACAGGCTGGATGAATGCAAGGGACTTGCAAAGTTTGCTCAAATTTCTCAGACCTGCCAAAGTGAATTTAAAAATATCATTTGTGCAGGATCTCCTGCAGGCTTTTCATTGAGGCCTTAGTCACTACAAGAACACCCATATTCACCTCACAGTATTTCCATACCTTTATCATGTTTTTTGTTGGATCTAGCTGGTAGAGCAGAAAAATCATACGAGTTGGTTCAGACATATAAGGGTACATTTCAAAAAAATATAATGAGAAAGTTATAAATAAGATTTGTTAATGCTTATGAGGAAATGTCTGATATCATAATTTAAAAAAAAAAAAATTAAAAAAAACATTATTTCAATTTAAATATAAAACAGAACTGATATGTAAGGAAGCACACTGTGCTGATATAAAAAACACTGCCTTCCCATTTTTCTAGAAACTGTTGCTAACTCTTGTTGGGAGAAGCATGTAAAAAAAATGTTTCCCTCTGAGCACAGGGCTGTTATCTTGTCTCTGTTTCTGGTAAGGGTCAAGGCTCCATTTTCACTGGGTTATGTACAACTTCAAACCCCTTTGGTGAACTTGTGGGCATAAAACTAGGGGAAAAAAAAAAAAAAAAAAAGGAAAGAAAAAACAAACAAACCAAAAAAAACCACCCTCTTTCTATACTTCCCAGAAATGGCTTTTCGACAGGAAAGAGTTTTCTTTTTAGACTGTTGACTGCCAAAATCACCTGCAAGCTTTTTCTGGGACATGAATGGATTCCAGACCTCCTACCCCAAAGTGCTGCCTCTATCTCCAGTCCTCACGGGGATGTCAGCACTAAGACACCTGCTCCTGTTGGATATTAACTGGCTCATCATAATCTACAGTCATCACCATGCAGTTGGGGTGCTTATGTGCTGCCAGACAGCATCATTAAAGGCGGTGTGGCAATAAAACTTTACTTCTGAAAAGTTACCTCTCCTTCACTCTGGTGTTTGGGAGACCTTGGGAATTTGACAGGGCAGGGAATCAGCAGTGAAATGCATCAGCTGTGAATCAATCACTCACCCAAGCTGTTCTGCAGTGCTTGTGCCTGACCAGTGTCGTGAGCCAGTGATTCACGACAGGACAGACACACACTGGTGCTCCCCATGCACAAGACAAAGCTCTGAGTGAAGGAGAGAAGTTGTGTGCTTGTGGCCATGCTCGGTTTCCCTGCTGCGTGGGATGCCACATCAGAGCAAGTGGTTGTTGCCTACAGTCTGCACAGCTGTGTCCCACACCTAAAAAGAAGGAAAACAAAGAAATCCAGATTTCATATATATATATATATATATATACATATATTATTTTTTTTACTGCTAGTTAAAAGGGTCCATGTGATTCAGAGACAGGATGACACTGTCTATGTGCCAGATTCTCTCCTTTGTCATGGGATCATGGGGATGCAGCTCCTCCTCAGGGAGAAGTACTTATGGCAATGCATTATTGAAGAAAATCGTAGTGCTTTGGCTCAGATGTCAATTCCCATTATAAGGCAATGCTGTGACAATGTTCTGGTAATACAATGCATTTTGGCAGTGCTTTGCTTCACTGCCTTTTTTAATAAAATGGGGGGGGGGGGGGATAGTAATGATAAATTTGCTTAGGGAATTAACCCAGGTATCAGTTCTGTTTCTCTTATATAGACCACAGAAAAGTCCCATCTACCACTGGACCTTGCATTTGTTCCTACTTCACCTGTGACTTCTCTGGTTCCGTGAAAGACAATCTGATCTGCATTGCGGATGATCCTTTAATCCTCAGGTCCTCCTGGAGCATAGCACTGGTTACAGCTGGCTTGGCAGAGGCACGGCTGTTCAGCATAATTTAAGGCTGTGCGCACACATCATCTCCCAGCTACAAGCATGCCCGCAGGCTGCTGCCCCTCTGCCACGCCAGCTCTGTGTCGCTGCCTCTTTGGCACCTGAGGCACTGTCAGAGTGCTCCCTCCTTCAAACAACACGAGCGAAGACCTGCAGCCTGCACTCGGTAACTCTCCCCTGCTGAACCGCAGACTTGTCTCCCGCTGGGGTCGGCAGGAAGCCTGTGATGGTCACACAGCAGTGCTCCTGCTCAGCATACTGCGATACAGACTTAAGCCTCATCCATGGCATGTCAGCCGATATTCCCCCTCAGGTGAAATTCTTAAGGAAGAAGGTCAAGGCCACTTTAAAGAAAAATACGCAATTATACACTATGGGTTGATTTCATCACCCAGTCTTTCTGCCTTGGACCAATTCATTAAATCATTAGTTAAGCTGACTTAGCTCCCTTGCCTCAGTAGCTATTCCTAGTGCAAGGCTTTTTTTAAAAAATGAGGGCCTTCACAGGCAAATTCAGCAGCCATCCATCAACCAGCAGTCCCTCGAGAAAAGGAAATTAGGGCTTTGACTATCCTCCCAGTTTTATGATCTTGTCTTTCCACTAAAATTGAGCTAGACCTCTGGGGGTAAGGATAACAAAAAGCTCGCTGAGTCAGTATTTAGGTTCTGCTTCCCTTTGCCACATAGTACTCCCACTTTGTAGCTAGGCTCCCACTCTCCTGAATTCTCTGTCCAGAAGCTGGAGATTATAATAATGGAAATTATTTCATTCCTGGACCTAAAAGTGAAAAAAAAAAAAAAATCATCTTATGCTTTTAGAAAAATGTTGCATGTGAATGAAATACATCTTCTAACTGCCTGGTTTTCTTGATCATGGTCAAACACTGAAGAGAAGGAAAACCAGCACAGACATTTTGTGTGGGTCACTTAGCAACAAAGTACTGAGCACAGCATCAGTTTTCATCTGGGACCAAAGATCAGGAGTTGTAGAAAGAACATGGAGAGAAAGATCCTTTCAAAATTGGTGCAGCTTGGATTACAATTGTTACAATGTGTTCCTGAGATGAAAGAGGGAAAAGGTATTTTTCCTATTTCGTCTTTTCTTTAAACTAGTGTTAGACTCTGAAATGAGTCCCAGCAGGAAGAAGAAAATGCACATCTGAGAGAAAGAGTGTTCTGTCCTAACACGGGATTTCTGTTGGTTTGATCGCTGGGGAGTTGGGGTTATGTTCTTTCTGAGAGTTCCAGCAGGGTATTCTTAACCTTGACAGTTCAGGCTCACAAGCCACTGCTTGGGGAACAAAAAAAAAAAAAAAAAGCAAGAGGTCCACTGGAGGATCTCCTGTGAGCTTCTGGAGATACAGGGCTTCTTCACCCCTCCGTTCCTCTCTGCAGCCCTGGTCTAGTGGTTTGCTAATGTCTCTCCCCACTTAAATTTCCTGCATGGGCAATTCATACAATATCAGGCGAAGGATGTGAGTGACACTGCCCTGAAGAGGGCCGGAACATCAGAGGTTGTTCAATCATGCTGAAAGGTTATTTAAAAATGCTGCATATTTACACTTTCCAGATTGCCTTCAAATGGTTACAGCAAGGTGTTTTTGTTTTTTTGTTGTTTGTTTGTTTCACTTTGGCACTGTCTCTTTCAGAGACCCTAGATGAATCAAACATCAGCCCTGCCAAAAATAAAAGATGGTATTTACTTCATAGCCACCCTCTAATTCAACAAGCCCTTGGAAGAGAGCCAAATCAGTGTGCTCTGATTCAAATATTCAACACTGTTTTTGAAGATACACATATCTCTTACTCTGTGTTATGAAACAGGAAGATGGCCACTAAAAAAAGGCACCTTTAATTCAGTTTTACTAAGATATCCTCACCATCTTCTTTAAGCAGTTCTCTGAGTAATTTCTTCCCTTTCATAATCTGAAAGGTCATTTTAATTCATGGCCTCTTTAACATTATTAAGATTTTTTTCCCTGAAGGAAAATTCTTTTTTTTTTCCTTCTTTTTTTTTTTTCTCCTTCCTCACAGCATTCATTCCAGAATGAATGGACTTCTTTATACCGAGGTTATACTTTGTCGTGGGCATTCCTCTGGTCTAGCATTCAACTCTACTCTCCATACCTAATACCTTTAATAAAACACCTGTTTCTGCATATATTAATACATTTCGTTTAGTACTTCCCAAAAAGAGAAGGGGAGGGGGGAGAGAGAAAGCAGGGAGATTCAGGGAAACTAATGTTAGGAAAAGGTATTTAATTATTGTTTTTCAACTTTAGTGATGCAGATCCCATTGAAATTCAGTTAACAACAGGAAATTATTTCTGCCTTACATGGTTATTTCTGAGTATAACTTTCATAATTGTGATTACTGGCAATATGATTATAAAATTCACAGATCTTATCACCATATGTGAATGAAGGAATGGATTACATTGCCATCTTTAAATACAGTTGGATGTACAATATGCCAATAAATGTATTCAGTTACTGTAAATATGGTCAAAACCCCACAGACTATTGTGGATTATAAAACCAGAAAACACTGTTATAGGATTACTTGTAGCTTAAACCTACATTTTCAGTGGACCTGACTTCAAAGCCTTGCATGGAATATAGAGAAGGGTTGTCCTTAATACTTCGTAAAAATAGAGATCTCTACTCCACTATCAGAGCATTCTGTATTTACAATAATTATTTTTTGTTTGTTTGAAACTAGTTTCAAATAATACTTTAGCTTCATAATTATCCCCAGATCCCTGAAAAGCACATAACATGGTATATAGGCTGCAGAAGAGCACTCGGTCCCAACAAATGAAAACTGCTCATCTAAGTCTTGAAACGAGAAGTCAAAGGGAATATTTGCACTGGCTGTCTCTAAGCATTAATTTAGGTGCAGGATGAAATTGAAAATATTTGCAAGGTGCCTCAGGTTAAGAAACATCATTTTTAAATGCCAGCTACCTTTGAACTGTTGTTCCCTGGGGCACAAGCAGAAACTTTGCAATACTTTGTTGGTGAGCTAGCAGCAAAAATTGCTGCTTGGAAGATAACCCCTGGCATCATCAAGTTGTCCATTCTGTAACATCTTATGACTTTCAAAGCAAAGTGACCTAATGTCTGCCCTTCTGTCTTTACCAGTAAGGCTAACAGTTATGAAGTAGTTCTCCAGGAGACAACCAAAATGCCACAGATCAAGCATTTTGACTGATTTTTCCTCTTTCAGATAAAATCCAGCTATGTTTTAAAGCAAAAAACTCTTCTGGAATAGGAAAACTGAATGCTGACTTTTCTACTCCTTTTTCTTCTCCTGCTCTCCTACCTCCTAAGCCCTACCAGCTTCTATTTGATTGCAGATGTGCTCTCCCATGCCCCTTCTCCTTGTGAGTATAAAGGGAAGGAGCAATGCAAGCTCGCTCAGACAACTCTAGCCAGTTTCTCTGGGATAACTCCAGCAAGGTTTTTTTTCTATTAAAAAAATGGATTGATATTGAGTTCAGTGTCCCACAGGATCAGACATTAATTCAAAAGAAGTGCTTGCTAGGGTAGTGAAGAGCAGAATGTAGGACAATACTTCATTTATTTGACAGAGGAATGATCGAGAGGTCTGAGGCTGGGGTGAACAGCCAGGTGCTCACGTGGGCTAATTCAGCTTCTTGTGTGGCCAAAACTCCTCTGTTTCAATTTCCCAGCCTCTGAGGCAGAGGTGATATTTACTCACTGCATCTACCTTACAGGTCTGCTCTGAGATTAATCAATACCCATAAAGTCCTTTGAAGATCAAAAAAAGCCATAAGAAAACTAAAGGGCTGGTATGACAAACAGACCTTTTCAAATGCAGTGTTGCAACTGAAGGTACACTTGTTGGACCTGGTGGCATTTTTATTTTCCTCCCCAAATCCATTTCAAGGAGTCCTGGCAACCATTACCATATAGCAGCGCCACTGAGATCAATGGCACTGCAACAGAGATGAGCCTGCCCCTGTGCGTAAATTCCTGGATAAGTCCTTTGAAACAATGTGAAAATCCTATTCTATCAATGTTATCTTGCCCTCGCAGGCACAGCCTTAAACCTTAAGTTTTTGAGCTCGTGTTTTATGATCTCTCCCTGCCTGGCTTTAAAGTATGCAGCCTTCTTCCATGGGCTCTCACTGTCCAAATGCCCAATGCCATGGGAGAGGAGGAGGCAATGCAATGGGCGAGCTACCCCTGAAACACACAACGTGCCACACCACCAAAAGCCCAACAAGGAGCTCTCTGCTCTGCCGTCGTAGTGCCCAGGCCTGCAAACCTTGCTACCACCACCCAGCGCCAGGCACAAACCCTTCGCTGCTCGGGCTGAGGCCTGGATGCGGCACTAGACCCTGTAAGTGAGTGCCAAACAAGGAAATTATGACAATTGCATTTCTGCCACCCCACCCATCCTCAAGCAGCGTATTCTGCTCACCGGAGAGGCTTCAGGAGCTTTTCCCATCTTTTTCAGAGCTTGCAAAAAGCTCCAGCTGTTTTCTCACAGAGCCTAATATCAGCACTGCGATTGCCACCATTAAGGTGTCCACTCACCCCAGGCATATTCAGAGTTAATTGACCGAGACTTTATGCTGCTAAACCCACAAAACTCTTTCTTTTCCACAGTAGTGCCTTTCAGACCTAACAGCACAGCACACACAGAACTTACCAAGCAGCTGTGCCTTGCACCTGAGTTTCTCACCTTGGTCCTTCCCCTATGCTTTGTTTCTCTTGGGATCAGCCAAGTATTGTTTGTCGTATGGGATCTGATCCTCGTGGACTGGAAATCCTGGTGGGAAGCGGGGTAAAAGGTGTGTTTAAAAGGGATGTTTTCACCTGCAGTCCTCTAGGATTAGACTTATAAACATGATGGACTTTTTGGCTGCTAGAGCAACAGAGCAGCCTTTTTAATTCAACATTAGCTGTGCAGCTTATGTGACAAAGTAGTGAACAAATTGTATTTTCCAGCTGCAGAAGAAATGAAGGGATTAGCCCACTGCTAACAATAAAATAAATTTTAGCTATTATTTCCAGATGCCAGATACAACACTGATAAGGAAGTCACTCACCAATCAAAGGAAAACTATTTCATTGTAGGAGCCTTATAAAAGAAAAGCATTTCTTGCTGCAATGAGTTCCTCCCTCCCAAAGCCTAACTGAACTGTGCATTTCACTGGCAATGTGAGGAAACTTATTGCTGATTATCCGTGACAATAATTTGGCTAATGCTAGCACTTTTAGGAGCCCTCCTGCAAACCGTTTGCCAGCTGCTGGCACACTCTACACAGCGAGAAAATTAGCTTAATTGCTTTGTCTACAGCTGAAATAATTCCTGGTTAGTACGCACACTTGTGAGAAATGCATGTGTAATTTAGGCCACGAGGACAACTGAGCACAAGCCATCTATCATCGGCCCAGGCTTATGCCTGGGGCCTTTGCTCTCCTGGCATATCGAGTCTGCTGGGCATGAGCCTGCACTATTCCCCCAGCAAAACTCATGCTGAATGCACTGAAAGAAGCCTGGGCCTTTGCCACTCCGTTGCCCTCTTGGTAAAATATCATGCTCCCTGCACAAAACTCACGCAACATCAGCTGTGCATGACATTCATTCCTGATATTGTGAAAGGTCTTGCTTCCTTTCTAATTCACTCGTAATGAACTTGTTACACAGGGCATTGGTATGCGAGCACAGACAACTGCCCCTGTGCACCAAAGAAAGCAAATTATCTCACTTGAGGAATTACCTCATTTGTCAAGTAGAAATCTGCACTGTAAATAAATCCATACTTGGCAGAGAAAAGACAGAGAGAACAACACGTGCAATGCCTGATGTGTATAATCTTGAAGAACAAATAATTATCAAACACTTTGGAAGCATTACAAACTTATCTGACCAGCATATTTGCTTTCAGGTAATGCAGAGCACTAATCACGAGTCACACCTTCCTCCCTCCGGACGAACCATCTCTGCAAGAAGAGGCCCCATCATCTGACAAACGGCACACTTGCTCTTTCCTCCAAGCTCTTACCAGTGACTCAGCCTGATGTCAGAGGGCAAATGCTTTCCCGATGAGATTTAAAACTGAAGTCCCAACCTGCTGTGATAATTAAAGATCTTCAAGTGCTTTTTGTAAGTGCAGGTTTGTGTCCTGGCGAAACTACACTAAGATAATGGCATTGTACTGCCTCTCCAGCTCGAACAGGACAGAGTTTCCATTCCAGGCATAGTTTCAATTGTCCACCTTTTCTTTCTGTACCGCTGGGCCAAATGGCATCAGCATGTTCAGCTTTAAATAACACAGCATTTCGCCTCAAAGGCAGCTAAATTTAAAGCCACCTCATGCTGTTCCCATTTCATGTCTTCTTTATTAATTAAGACACCTTCTACTGGTTACTCAGCCCAGATACAGAAGGGTTAGGTTTGGCACTGTGATGATCTAAAGCTGTGTGGTCTGTGGGAAGCTCAAGCCAGCCTCCAAATTTCAGGTGACCAGGAAAAAAGACAATTTTGTGTTCATAATCAACCAGGAAATTGTGTTGCAATGCCTATATTAACATATCTTGGAAGGCTGCAGAGGCAAAAGTAAATGCCAGAATAAGGCCATTTACTCACCGCTAACTTCCTGCCAACAGCCTCACACTATTCTGGCAAGCAGTACAAAATGGAATTTAATCTCACGGTCATATACTGGAGACCTGCACAGGATCCCAGCAGTGTGACAAGCAGGATGGAGGTCTGGAGGACTAGTACACAGGCACACTGATAACAACACGGGCATCTCCCCATAGCGGGCTCCACCGTCTCTGTCAGCCAACTGCAAGATGCCAGACTGTTGGTCTCCAACTTGTTCTGCACTACAGGGATGCCTGGACTCTGAGTTTCTGTCTAATTTCTAACAGTAAGTGCATTATAGAAGCTCAGGACCACTCCTTCTCCTCTGTCACCAGCATCTTTCTTTTTATCTTAATTCCTGTACTTTCTCTGTTTAGTATCTTCCCTCTATTCTCCATCAGTCTTTTGCCAGGACATACACATCCCCAGTGTCCCTAGAGTTTTGTATATCTGTCCCTCCACTGCCATTTCCCACTTTTCCTGATTTCTTTTCTCAGTATTAAGATTCTCATGAAGCACGCCAAATTTTTTGCAGATATTAAATCATGGAGCATCTCAAAGCACAAGACAATACAAGACATATCCAGAGCCTGCCCGATACAAGAAGCAGGGTCTCCCTGTATGAACTGCAGAGGAAAACACCATTGACATCCATGCAGGCGATGGACCCGAGAGACCGACTTGTAGCAAGCAGAAGGCAGCTCAGACCCACTCCTAAAGCTGGTGCTCAGGACCTCTTCTAGCAGACCTTAGAGGATTAAGATATTGCAGAGCTATGAAAGCAATAGCCCTTTCTGCTGGAACCCCATGGGCCATGTTGGGGTACATAGGCAGGTACAGGCTCTCTTGGTTGCCCCAGTAACAATTAAAAACTGCAAACAATCACCAGTGCATGGCCACTCATATGTAAAGAAGGATATTGTCTCTTAGCAGTGTTTGCCAGTCTAAAGCTGCAAGGCTGGTCTCACCTTAGCTGGCAAAAATGAAGCAGCAACTTGCTAAGCAGTTTGGTGCCAGATGAAACAAATCTAGGAAATGTGCCCTTTCAATGTCACCTTTCTTCTCTTTGTTGACTACTCTTACTATGCTGTCTCATGAAGCCCAAACAAAAAGATGAATCACAAGAAGAAAACAGAAGGAAACACAGAATTACTCTGTTTGATCCTACTCTCCCCATCCCACAGAATTACTTAATTTGCCAGTAGTCTGGAGAGCACTGAGCCAAAAATCTCTGAAGGAAATTATCAGAGCAGCCTGCCATACAAAACACATGGCTCATATGTCAAAACATTGCAGGGTGATGCAAGGCTTACGAACGAGGGAGCAGTGCTGCTGCTTGTGCAAAAGCCTCTCCAGACCACCTTGTGTAAACAAAGCCAGCAAGGCGTTTCAAAGGCAAACATGCCCTCACTCACCCCATGTGGGATACAGGTATTTTCCACTGAAGCTCGGTCTATGGGAGCTTCTCTTACCCAGTGAGAGAGCCCAAATGGTGCAGAATGTGCTCTAACTTTGAGATGCGGAATTTCTTTCATCTTGTCTCAAGAAACATTGCTTTCTGATTTATGTCCCATATATTAAATAATTTACAAACAGGAGACCTGCTGGGCTGGCTGGCATTCTTAGTTTTTGTGCCAGGCACATAGCATAGATTGTTTGAGTTCCTTTTCTTCTTTTTAATGTTCCGGAAAGAAAGGTTTTTGGATTCAGTTAAAGAAGTTTTGCTATTTCCTGCTTGTGCTTTCATTTGTTTGGGGTATTTGTTTTTTTGTTGTTTTTTCTCTTCTAATTAGGGTAACACAGTTTATATTGCCTTTAATCACAGCATACGCACTCTGTAATTACTCTGTAAATACATGCATATGAATTGTTTATATGTGTGGAGGTGGGAGAGCAAGAAAGTGGATGTAATTATGCGTATAGGGAAATGTAATGATTAATTATCTGGAGTACATAATCTTACCAAGAGGCTTGATAAAGTGCAAGCACAACTGTCTCTCCTGTGTGTTAATTACTTACAGAGAGCTTGATCCAGCTGTTTCTACTCATGCAAATTCCCATTCCAGTCTGTCTGAAGGAGAGTCCATAGGCTGAAAGCTGTGAGTGCTTTGCCTGAGCAAACAGCTCGTGTCCCTACACGTTCACCCAGAACATTCTGAAGCTGTCTTCACTCTGTGGGGCTTGATCTGCATTTAGACCAGTTTAACATCCCAGCATCATGCCAGCAGGTAAGAAGTAAGGGGCATCACCATTGCAGCTGCTCCTCTTCAGAGGAAGCAGAAGAAGAACCCGGTCAAGAACTTTTTCCCATGTTGCCTAACCCAGAGTACCTGAATCAGCCCAGCACTGCTGAATGGCCTGTGTGGTAACCAAGCACTTGAAAGAAATCTTTCTGCACAGATGACAGAGAGCACAGGGCCAGATTTTCGCACCCTCTATATTCAGCATCAGAGCATGTTTCCAAATGAGCCTAGCATGCAGTGGTCTGTGTGTAGGAAAGGGTTGGAGAAAAAAAAAAAAAAAATTCCCTCCATCCTCAGGTACAGCTATCAGGCAGCAATGTCTGTTTCTTTCTCACCCCTACTGTCACTAAAGGCCATATCTTGCTACTAGCAGTGGTAGCAGTGACCATCAGAACATGAGGGCTTGAGGGCACTTTGATGTTATACCAGGAGGGGGAGGTAAGCCTCATCATTATCATTATCATCCTGCTTCTGATGGTGCTGGGGTCAGTAAGTGGCCCTTGCACTTCAGACCTTCAGATTTCCTCTCCAGAGATGCAAACCCTGCATCCCAGCATCTCAGCCATACAGTATCATCAGTGAACTGACTTGTCTACATGCACACCACACACTTCCTCACACCTTTCCATTTTCCCTTTCAGTGATTAAGCCTGTCTGTCATTTCCTCCATGAACAGACAACGTTGAAAAGCATGTTTAAAAAATTCCTGTTGATTACTGCAAACCTAGATCTGTGGAAAGGCAAGTGTGAATAACACAGCTTTTCCTTACCCTCCACACTCCTACATGCTCATCCTAACATTTTAAGCAAGTGAAAAAACTGGCAGGAAAAAAAAAAATAAAATGTCACAGGACTTGTCTGCACAAGGACAGAGGTGTGCATGCGCTTGCACCAAGGACATACTTCTGCATTGCTGCTGCACTGCAGCAGTCCAGCTCAGGAAACAGGACACAGATTTTCGGCTTTCTATCACCAGCTCATACCTGACAACAGGGCTTTGTATGAAGATGTCGTTTGCTTTGCCTGACTGAATGCAGGTCTCGTTTTACAGGGAACTTATTTCCCTGGATTGCAATTATCCAATTTTGTTGTTTATACTACTCCATTTCTCTCTTAAACATTCCAGCCTGGTCTACCTCTTAAAGCTCACATACTAGGACATGGTGCAACATTTGTACATTTAAAAAGCATTTTGATGTGCAGCCAAGAGAGAAAATTTTCTTATTTTTATTACAAACCTGAACACTAGTTAAATTCAGTCAAAACTACTTACCAGACACAAGCTGGTCCCAAAGAAGGTAGTCCCAGAACTATTATAAACGAGCTTCAGAGCTTTGATTAACTACAGCTAAAGGTACAATAATCCTTGTAATTTCACTCAAATTCTATATGAAGAGAACCACCTCAACATCTGAGGCAAACTGCACTGCAGTATTTTCATACCTTTCATATATCTCTTGTAGCGGATAATAGGTGGGGTGTTATAGTGTAACACTTCTGCACTTCTTAGATAGCTGTTCATTGCATTGAGGCTAATGTCTCTTTTTAAATGTTTCTTCTTTCTTGACAATCTGTTCTGTGAGTCAATGATATGAACATTGGAAAACATCAATAGCTATTAAATATTTGAGAGCAATGTTTCTCCCCTTTCTTCACAGTATTAGAAAAGTCATTTATCCTAACACTGCTGATGGCGTTCAGAATGATCTCAATCAATAGGTGGAATCTAATTTCACAGCCCTGATACCTCCATAGCCAGATTGTCTGAGCTGCAGTCACACCTGTCAAAATTGCTCAAGGTCCAGACCATGATCAGATGCTCTTTTGCTGAAAGCAGGCTAGGCACATCCCTGTGCTCCCACATCCAAAAAAAAGAGCTCCTCCAGGAACATGCTCTGAGAAACACAGCTCTGTTGATACTCAACTCACCGCAGCTCACTGAAGTCTGTCCTATCCTTGGCAGCATAGGAAAAAAATTACCATAAGTTAGTGGTTTGAAGTGAAAGCTCACGGCACTATTATCTCACGCATACTAAGTACATACTTTAACACTTTGAGGAACAGGACCACAATGACAGCCAAATGCAAAGTGTTCAAATACCTATGAGACAGATTGTCTAAAAGATAGTGGCAACCAAATGTAAACTAAATTTTACCTTAGATTTCTATATAAAATAGCTAACTTCAGTTTTTCTTTAGCAAGTGATAATTCATAATCTCTCTGCCGTGGTCTAAGTTGCAGGAATTGAACACGGTACAATCACTCAAGCTTTATATGTGAAAGTAGCAGAACTACTTCAGGAACACTTGGAAATGCAGATAACTTGTACAAGAACATGGGAAGCTCTCTGAACAGAAATGTAGCAACTTTAGCTTCAGGAAGCATGTCCTAACACTCCCAGGAGAGTACACTAGCTATGGATATGATGAAGGATGGTAGATGTTGTCACCTGTTTTTAGAAGCTCACCTTCCCCACTCAGAGCAAAGGAAGATCATGGGAAAAACAGGTACTAAATATGGAAGTCTTTCAGGCTTTTTGCAGTGGTGTGCAAAAGTGCATTGCACAAAGCAAAATGTAAGCTTACATTGTCTGAGCTGGAGCACAAGCTTGTTTAATGAATCTTTGCTAGGGTTCAGTCTTCTTAAATAATAGGAACTTGTCTGATATTAATAACATGGAGGTAAAAAATAAAATAAAAATAATTTCAGTTGTTTTAAATTGTCATTAAATTAGGTGCTTTCTACCTTTGTGGACCTTAAACCATGGACCCTGATGTCCATGCTCCAAGGTGCGATGTTCTTGGTTGCTTACTCTTGTTGCATTAAGAAGTGGCATGTGGTTTAAAAGAAACTTGGGTTATTTAATGAATTCTATACTTCACATTAGCAATAAACTAATACAGTGCATGATTCAATAAATGTCACTATCATTGATAATGTTGCATTAACAATGCTCACATTAATTAGTTGAAGGGTCACCAGAGACCTCTTGCCTACAAAGCCAAGCTACATCTTTCTCTAAGGAAAAAAATGGGCAGACTTCTAACATGGAAAACCATGAAGACTCTTCCTCTTGTGGCTCCCTTGCTGGGCAAACACAATATCAATCACACATGCTTTCCCTAAAACTGCTTCAACAGTAGATGTAGCATTTCAGGGAACCAAGCCAATCTCTTGACTGAAACCAATATTTCTACAGTTATACTGCCCAGCTCTTCACACACTTACTTATCCTAATTACGGGTGACTGGCCCAAGAGTATTCATCAAAAGTAAGAATTCCCACACCTGTAAAGTGACATTTTAGACATTATTATCCTGTTTACCTATAGGTCAGAAGAAAGATTTGGAAAACTGACTGGGATGACAGTGCTTTGATGCCAAAGCTAATCTACTTAAAGCCCCCTTTCACCCTTTAAGTCTCCTAACAGGAGTTAAAAAAAAAGAAAAGGAGTTAAAATTTGGCAGGAAGAAATAAATGTGCTACCAAGCCAGAAGAGCAGCAGCTTGCAGAAATTCTGAGTTCATTTTTCCTTAGTTTAAATGGTTACAGAAGGCAAGGGGCAACTGAGAAGCATGTCCAGCCTTGTTACATCTCACAGGTGTGAGCTAGTAGTGTTCAGTTTCTATAAAATGCTCTTCTGCCACTGATTTCACAGGGGCTATGTTGGTACATGCTTGCTAACATCTTGGTGATTTGCTGAAAAGAGCAAAGTGCAATGGCTTATGACACATTTTAATCTGCTGTATTGTTGTACTGTATTATTGAAATATGATAAATGTAAATCTTAACCTGGATAAAGCTTAAAACATGAACAGAATTTGCAGTAGGGCAGAGCTTAAATACGCACTGTGTTTCACTGCTGAGCCAACGTAACTCAGTTAGAATATATGTGAAATTAGATTTTCAGTCATTAAAATCAACTTCTTTTAATTCAGAAGTTCGTGATATCTACTGATACCCACTGCAGAACATTGGTGCCCATTCCAGCTTTTGAGTAAGTTCAAAGTGCTAGCATTTCAGATCTAAAGACCAAGTATTGTAATAGAAAAACAGTGCTGAGGAAAGGGAAGCCCATAAAATAAAACAGAATAGAAAGCAGTTTTAAACCTTAAGCACTGTTTTATAGATAATTTTTCCTGTTTTCGAAGATGTACATGACATTCACTAGTCACATCTTACTCTGGATTCCTCAGTGTCCTTCAAACTCTTTTCATTCTGCTTTAAAGCATCCTTTGACTTTGGTGGGCTTTGAATCAGGTCTTACAAGCTGCAGGCACTGTAATTAAATGTCTTTTTCTTTATAATTGGCATGACTATTAGTGAATCAAATCAAGTCATATCCACATGTCTGCAGTAAAAACAAGGCTGGAGCAGATCTTAGACTAACTACAAAGGGTCCCCGCAGTGGAAAAATACCGTGGATTTTTGTATGATAAAAATCACTATGTATATTCATGATGTTACGCTTTTTAAGAATGGGAGTGACTGTGATAATGAAGTATGGACTAAGGCCATGATCTCTGTTATTATTCTATTACATAGGTATCGGCGCCAGGACCCAGGAGGTTTATAAATGCTAGTCAGTTATAATGAGAGGGTTTCACACTCAGTTTTGCACTTGGAAAAAAATGACTGCTCGAGGTGCAAAGATCAGACCCCTCATGAATCAGACCCCTTGCACCCCGAGAGGTCTGCCTGGAGCTGCTCGTATTGCCAGT